GTCATTTGCCCATGCTTAACATAAAATGTGGCTGAAGATACTACAGGTATTTTCTGTTCTAAGTCTAGAGAAGCACTGTCATAGGTAAGAAAAGGACTTTCACCAGCAGTTATTCCTAAGTAAAGGTTAGCTTAGAAAGTCCTTTAAAAAAAATTGAATACAACTGTTACAGGTAGAAAGCTGCAAGTATTTTAAGTTATTAAAAATCTTCTGTGACTAAAGTATGTATAGAAATATATTTTCCTGTTTTGTGTAATACACTAGCATGTGAAAAATCAGTAAGTTCCCTATTTAATTGGACATGACTGCAGCGACTCCCACAGGGACTCAGGGAGTCAAAAAGAGCCAGTTCCTGCAACAAGCACTGCTCCTTCCTTCCAGAGGGGAAGTGGAGTGCTGCTACTGGACCCAGTGGAGAAAGGGATGAGACATTTCTTATTGAAGTCAGAGGTGCTGCATGTTGGATCAGGACAATTTTTGGTAGCACACTGTAAAAAATGATCCAAAGGCAAGCACACCCCACCACCAGCCCAGACCTGAATCCATGTACTGGTGTTCCATCCAGAACATTGTGCCAGCTCATGGAAACTAAGTAGAATGTGCAGGTCTGATCTAACCAGCTACCTTAATTTTAGATCCAGTTCCTGGTCTGGCCATCCCAGAAGGGCTTGGTTAAGAGGTAAGAGCAAATTACAAGTGGCTGTGTGGGCAGCAAAGGAAAGAACAAACTCACAGAGTAGCAAATCTTAAGAGACAAATACTGTTATAAAACAATAACATTATTGAAAACAATGCAGTTTGTGTAAGACTGATAAATATTCTGAAGTGTTACAAGAATAGCACAGAGTTGTACAAACAGTAAATACTTGCATTTTCTATACTGCAGTACAGCAATAGAAAATACCAGCTTCTCCAAGCACAGCCTGCCCTGTGCCCAGCCTGCCTGGCAGGTAGGACATGCTGGAAAAGCAGCTTAGGGGACACACAGTCAAACGAAGAGCACCAGGAGGGATATGTTATTGTAGAGATGAGTTATTTCTTAGGTGAGTAATGTTAATGAAGTAGTAACTGTGAGTTTAGCACCTATCAGTTAATAGCTTAACTATTATGTTAAGATACATGTTTCTCTGTTAGAATTGCCATTGCAAAAGAAGTTAGACCTGGACTACCTGTGTTTGAAGGGATCCTTTTAGATCCATCCTTCAGTGCCTCACTTCTTAAAGGAAAGCTGCTGGTTTTTCAAAGGAACATTTTTATCTTGAAGTTTCCATAAGTTAAATGTGGCCATTTGTAGGAGAAGATTCAAGTAAAAATGATTCACTTTAATGGTATGAACATTTGAAAAGGCAAAGAGATGGCTCTGTAACTTACTAATTTTGCGTAGAAAATGTGTTTATCACATGGGAGTGCTGAATTACAGCACTAGAGAAACTAAAGCTGTCAGCACTACCAGTGAAACCAATAAACTAAGCTCGTGGTGTGGGACTACGGCTTTCAGAACAGCTGGGAACGCACAGTACTGCTCGCTGTACGGACAGCTGCCACTCCTACTGATCTTGGCTCACCAAACACAGACAAGGGTTCCAATGAAAGTCTAAGGCACACAAAATACCGTAATGATTTGATGTATACTGTATATTACGTAGTCAATAAGCATAAAACTGCTGGTACAAAACGATGGCATAATATCGGTTCTGTTTTATTATTTACAATCCCTTCATATCCTCTATTTGAGCTAATATTAAGCTTTCAACTAAAATTTGCAGCATATCCGGTTTTTACAAATTTTACTTAAAATAGGTAAGAGACAAAGAACAGGTTCAATCCCTCCATCCTCTGCCATCAACAGCTTTGTTAATCTGAACAGAAATGTGCGGAATTGAACCCAGGGTCGTTACAGAGTGATTGGTACTTCAGCCCTCGCTCCTGCAGACACCACCCATGTGCACAGGGGTGCAGGAGCGCGGGCTTGTGGCTCTGCAGCCACACCGGAGTTGTAGCACCGAGGTCTTGACTGGCACCAGGTGTTAAAAACACCACTGATGTACTTGTCGTACCAGAACTGTAGAGTGCTTGCACTTGAGCTTCCCCAGGAAAAAGCACCTTGTCTGGGTTTAAATAAAGCAGCTCTAGACAGCTGCTACGCCCCTACACAGCACCACTACAGTATAATATATCAAGTATATCATCAGTACTTTGCACACTGGAACTCTCTGACCTGGTTCTACCGCCAGGCTGCCCAGGCGGGGTGGACGTGAGGCAGGAGGAAGGTACAGCTCTGTGTGAGGGCCTGACCCTACAGCTCTCCCAGGAGTCCTGGCTCCTGTGGGACAAGGTGCAGGATGAGGTCAGTCCCTAGCTAACGTTTTCATTTGGTAATTTGTTTAAATAAATAAGTTTAAAAAAGAAATACATAGGAGAGGAGAATCAGAAAGAAGAGTGGGATGCTACAGTATTTAAAAGCAATGGAGTGTCTGTTTTTCCTCTGATTTAGCAAATACTCGTTTTGTGATATGTCACTTTTTTAACAGAAATGTAGAACATAAGCTTCATATATTTGGAAGAAAGGATACAACCCTCTTGAAGAGAAATGTATAAATTGCTTCAAAAATTTACAAAACATTTTTGTAAGAAAACTGAACTCAAAGTTGATGAATATTACAGATAGGTTATTCTTAATGAAAAATTTGCTGTTAAATATTAGAAGTTTAATAATTTTCCAACACTTTCTTTGTATTTTCTCCAAATTAATTTTTTTTCCAGAACAGAATAAGGCAACTCTAAGGGGTATTTTTTTTATCCCAAAACAATCCTACCCCTGAGGCATTAAGAACTTTTGGTTGTCATGTTAACTTAGAATGCTCCAAAGGAATGAGACTTACACACTTATTGCTCAAAGAAACCATAATAAATGCTGCCTTTAAAAAAAGCAAATCATGTTCATATCTCCCAATAGCAACATATGTACTGACCAGACATCTCCTCGGTTCACGTTTGTACACTCTCTTGAAAGGAATAAAAAGGTTCTGTAATTCGTAACTGTTGTTTATATGCAACATAAAATCTTCAATGAAAAAGGGCAAGTTAAAACCAACCACATATGCTGTGAGCGCACATCCTGCAGCTGTAACAACACGGAACTCTACACAGCAAGAATAAAATCACTTCTGTAGAGTATGCACAAACCTTAGACAATATGATCCTTAGACTATACTATTTCAAGTTAATTTTAAAAATAGAAAGTGCTTTTAAAATATATATTTACAGCTTAAAAACAACTTCCAGCCATCCTTACCAATAACTTCATTTTATACATAATGACAAATCTAAAGAACAAAATTCATTGGTTTTCTAAAAGATTTATCTGTAATTTGGACTATATAGCAATGGTTGGAAGTTGTTAAAGCAATGGCACCATGAAGTAATAATTCAGCTTATTTATTTTTAACTGTTTGATGTGGTTAAGCACCAAGAGCTGTGTAGAGCTATAACTGTATAACTTGATTTAACACCATAAAATGTGAACCTGTTAAAATCCCTATAAATGATTTTTGTAGTAAACAGACTTTATTTAAAGCACCAAAATATAAATTCCTAAAGGTAATAAACTGAATGATTCAATCAAGGTTAATAACCTAAACAAAATCTTTTTTAGAATGTATTAAAACTATACAGCTTTTCTTTTTTTTTTTTTTTTTTGCTTAAAATGTGCTTGAGCACCACCAAATGTTAAAGTCACAGTTTAAGAAGAAATCCCCCCCTTTTTTTTTCTACCTCAGCCTTAAAATGGTTGAGATGAGCAAATAGTAAACGACAGGAGACTTGTTCTTTAACAGCACCTTAGAGAACCACCGTGTGACCCTGCGCCAGGAGGGGCCCTGCCACCTACGCCCAGTGGTTGTAGGGCCCCGCCACGCGCGTCAGGGCGTACGAGGACACCGTGATCACGTTGTCCTTGGTCACTGTCAGCGCTCGGCGGGAGGGAATTTGGTTGAACTCATTGTCTTCATAAAAAAGGTCTCTGTTTTCACTTGGTTGCTTTGCTTTCCTGTTGCTGGAGCTCAGTTCTGAATTCTCCGTTCCCAGTCGTTCTGCTTCTTTTTCTTTCTCTTTCGCCCTCTCAGCCCTCTTTGCTTCCCACATGTCTAAACCGTGTTTTGGCTCATTTAAATTTTTGTGTTGGTAGAAAACTAAAGAAATTCTTGTGGGATGATTCCGGTTGGGTTTTTTGATCGGTGTGGTAGCGTGGAGTTCCCGTCTTGCACATTCAATTAAGATAGAACCATGAGAAGGTGCCACAGCAACCCCACCAATGTCATCGTCCAAAAAATTGTGCTCGCTGTCTGACCACAATTCCTCAGCCTTTTCTTCAGAATCAGCCGGGTGTCCCAGTGCACTGCTTTGCTTTTCCTCAATACAGTCCAAGTCACACATCTGTCCTCGATGGGAGCTGCCCTTTTCCACCGGGCATCCATGGGAACAGTCGGCTCCGTTTCCGACGGCATCCGTGGCCGGAGAGCTTAGCGGTACTGACAAGTCACAAGAGCTGACCATCTGTGAGGAAGAGCTGTCCAGCTGAAGCTGACAGTTCTGTTTGTCAGGCTGATGTTCAAGTATAGTGGGCAGGGGATCTGTGTGGGCTGGGGGGCCTGGAGCAGTGACCTCGGGAAGCATCGGTGGCACCCCATTCACCTTCTCGTCCAGCAGAATTCCAGTATAATCCTTGACTGACACATCGAAGCTCTTGCAGTTGACGTAAGGTGTCACGTGAGGTTGCTTGGTACTGCATTCAAAATACCCGTAGGGAACTGAAAAATCTTGTTGAATGTTAGTCACTGCTGTTAGGCCAGGCTTATGTGCTAGAGATGGACAAGGATGTAAACTATCCACCTTAAAGGGGGAGGAAGCCGGGCACTGCTTTAGTAAGGAGCAATTTTTAGTAGTGTTTGAAGTATGTTTCATGGCATACAGGTGATTGGAAGTCTCCATTTTTATTCCAGGTTTTAAAGCATCTGTTTTGTTCCCTAGAAAAAATGCACACCAAAGTGTAAGTACTTTTCCTCACTTAATTCATAAAATACACCTCTTAGAATTTCATACTTGTTTTCTAACATGAAAAATATACATGATGACTACAGATTTTTCAAAATGGTTATTTTAAGCTTTTTAGGATTATCTTGATGACCTTAAGTATACATATAATAACCTTGTTGAATTAACACCTTAACCTTTTCCAGTCAGGCTGCTGGTATATATAAAAAAAAGGTATTTCTCAAAGGGATGAATAAAATAAACAGAGAAAATGAAATGACCACCGAGTCCTGATCCACACAGCCCAGTCCTACACAAGAGCTTCCCAGCAGTTGACTGCTGGTCTTCAGTTGTTACATCATTGATGAGATTCAGCCTGTCTGAAATTAAGCCTATGAATCAGTCAAAATTCTGGGCTGCCTTGACCCCATATTATGACAGGAGGAAAAAGCTTGTTTATCTTGTCTGTCACAGCCAAAACAGTTACTGAGTTACAACCACTCCTACATTGCAATATCAACTTGCAACTGCCTTTAAAAAAAGGAGCTGGCAACACGCTCCAGGTAAATCCATCCCTACAAAGCTGGATCCTGTGATTTGGTGTCTGCTGTCTTCCCATGTAATTGCCTCACACGAATCACTTCACACCTTTGTGCAGACACTTGTTCAGTCCCTGTCAGCTCTCTAAGCTATTTCTAGCCATGGCAGCCCTGCTGCTGGGCTTGGCTGTGAACAGCTCCTCAGTGACTGAATCTCATCATGGCTGTGTTCCATCCAGAGACCACTGGATCAATGGGAAAGAATTCCATCGTCTTGGATGGGCTTTGCATCATGCCCTGCAGTTGCTTTACCTGTGTTTGGCTGGCAGACTGGCATCCCTCAGAGAGCTCTCAGGTACTGTCTCTGTCAGTATTTCTTCTTTGTTCCATAAATACACAGAATGGTTAATTGCTTTACCCAATACAGAAGAACTATTCCTTCTTCTACTCTGTCTTCTAATAATTTATAAATAATGATGGATAAAAAAACATTCCTCCAACAGGAATGCAAAAAAGTCAAGGGATAAATTACAGACACAATAGTTAGTATGCAAAAACTGAAGCTGAGTGGGACATAAGGAAGCCACAATGACTCTTTAAGAAAAACTTTTCCATGAAATCAAACATAAAGCATTTAATGTAATTAGAACAGCTCCCTCCACACCAAGGTCTCTCACCAAGCTGGTGGTCCTCTCCTGTTCTATCCAATATAGGCCAAGAAGAATTGCTGATATTTACAGAGACAGAAATAACTTTTCATCTTTGATGTTTATTTGTCCCAAATAATGTGGTTAAAAGACAGGACTATGCAAGGGAGGAAGTAAGGCCTCTGTCATTAATACACATTTCATACTAATTTAGAATTTCAAAGGTCTTCAGAATTAGAAAGTGTAAAAATTAAGAGTTGTGCAGCTTGCAGTTGGTAAAAGGTGCATGACAAGTGCACTGTTTAATACTTTCCCTGAAGGCCTGGGCCCAGTGGGGACTCAGACCAAGCCCTCACAGCTGTAGGCGCTGCCAAGCTGACTCGGGCTCCTCCCCACCATCCTGGCTGCCAGGTGAGGGTAGGAGAGAGGACGAGTCCTCCCTTGTTCCTTTCTCATTGCCAGTGCTCCAGATGTGAAGACATGCAGGTTAGAGGGGTCTTTCAAGCTTTCCAGCTGGGCCATACTGCAGCGGCTCTCAAGTGAAGGTCAGGTCTCTTCCAGACAGACAGATTACACCTACACAGTGGGCAGCATGACATAGTCTTGTGACTCCATCATCCTCCGGGCTGCTCCAGAGCCTGACAGCCTCACATGGCTGAGCACGTGGCCAGCAGTATCTACCACCCACGGGAATCTCATCCTACTGCATGTTCTCCACATTCTTTTTCATATTTGCAAAACCAAAGCAATATTCTCAACTCTTGCCCTCAATTAGCAAACCGAGTACTCTACGTTACATACCTCAGTTATCCATACCTCCCTCTACAGCTGCAGTGTTAAGTATCTTTTTGTTCTTCCATCAGGAGAAAATTTAATAGTAATATCTGATTTGCTTAACAGCCTTGAGCACTGCTGTGTTCACTGCTTACATAAAACTCTAATCAGGATTTTTTTCATTCTATTTTCTATTACTATGAAAAGATCCTGATTAATCATTCCCTCTAGTCTACCATCAGGAGTGACTACTGAATAGCCCAGTTTAACTGCTGTCTCCCACACCCTCTGATCCTGTTTTCATACTAAGTCTACCATTCTGAGCTAGACTCCCAAGTTCCCATTCCTGAGGACTAAAATGATACCTGCCCCTGGCAGAAAGGAAGGAAGCAATTGATGACTGATCCCCTGTAACTGCAAGCCCTGCACATACAACACTGCAGTGCTCCAAATCCAGGGTTTACAGATCTCTGCACTGTACTGTGGGGCAGGGGCAGGGCAGCAGGGGGGTGCTGGGGTGTGTGCCCAGCCCTCAGCCTGTAGGACTGGAGAGAGCACTGAAGAGAGGTACAGAAACACCTCACGTTCCTGTCTGGCAGAGCCCAGCACTGCGGTGAGCTCACCTTCCTCTGCCACTGCTGCCTCTGGCAGTGTTCACACAGGCACTCCCAGCACCAGGGGCCATGGGCAGGTGTGGGGCTTACAGTGCTGACATCTGCTTTGGGGAACTCCACTGTCAAAACTTCATGACAAAAGCTGCACTTTTATCATAGAAACTAAATATTCTATTCACATTCTTATTTTTCCATCCCTAAAAATCTTTCTTGCTCATAAAAGTGTTTCTTCCTTGCTCTGTACCTTACTTTAATCACCAGCCCTTTTAAATTACTTTACAAAAATAGTTCAAGTCCAAACAAATGATCTAAGTTGGCTTGTTTACGCAGTTATTTTATTACTTTTGCATGTTCAAGGAATAAAGTTCTGTGTTCCCAAGGCATATGGGACACCCTGGCTGTTACAGCACTGGTTAAGGCTTCCAGGTGTGGAAGCCATGCCTGCTGCACCTGTAATGTCATGTACAGGTAGGTGGGCCATAAACCTCTTTCAGTCTTTCAAAACAACACTGCAGTGAGATCAAACAATTTCAGGATTCATTCCCAAACCAGAGCCCTCTAACGCTTCCGGAACTTCCAGCCCAGCCCTAGCATGGAGTTGCTGTGTCCCCAGACATGCACGTGGATGAACTGAATGTCTCTCTAATATCCTGAGGGTCAGCAATACTGATTTTCTGGTTCATCAGTCACCCTGAGTCCCCTACTGAGACAGAGTGCTCAGTGCCATTACCGAAGTGTGACAAATGCATTTTTGTTTTTTTAAATGTTATTCCCCCAAAATGCAGACATTCTTCTAAATACATTTAACTGTCATTTCTCCCCTTAAATCTACCTATATCTGGATGGTTCTCATGAAATAAAATTACATCAGGTTGGCTAATTTTCCTCTCTTCTTCCTAACAGGAAGAAGAGTGCTTTAATTCCTTTTATTTATTTTTCCCCTGCTAATCAGAGAAGTCAAGTCCATGGCTTCTTCCACCTCTTCCTTCTCTTGTACTTCCCATTACTGCACAGTCCCATACTGTAGTTCTACCCTGGGAAGGACTAGCCTAGAATCCGAGCCCGGGTACCACAGTGTACATCAAAAGCACCTCCACACGGCTCAGCCCAGTCACAGTTCTAATGAAACCGAGTGTTGAGGAGCTTTTCCCTCCCTCAGATGTGCAAGAGGCAACACAGGATCAGAAGAGACTGGCAGGATTTCATAAGCATCACTCACCTAAACAATGCAAAGCGTTGCCCAGATTTTCTGGGGCTTCGGTTTTCAGCTTTACCGGTGTTGAATACTTTTTATCTATTAATGGCTGCTTTTCACTCGGGGCCCTCCTCGTGTCTGGTTTCTTTTTCTTGGTGGCTCTGAGAGGCTCAGCCAACATCCGCACTTCCCTGGGGAATGCTGTGAGCACCTGGATGGCCCCGGCTTTGATCTTGGCTTCCAGGCCCTCTTCGGTGCCGAATTCATCTGTTTGTGAGATCTTGTACAGAGGCAGCACATGGAGCTGTTCATCACTCGGGATCACCCCCACGCTCCGGTTGTCTTCCTTCGTCAAGGTACAGACCTGGCAAGAGCAGGGACAGTGACAGGTGACCCCACAGACCCAGTGCTGGGAATACTGGGGCAGCCACCCCAGGCCTCACTGCCTGCTTGCATTTTACGGCCTCAGGGCTGTGGGGCTTTCAAATGCAAACATCTGACACACATTTTGTTTGATCTGTAATGACACAGAAAAGTTATTGGTACTTTAACAAGATCAAGGCACATGTCTTGGACAGGAAAAATGAAACTCTGGCTCAGCTTACACTACCCACAAATATATGCCAACCTTGGAAAATAATCTCAGCTGTAAATACAGTGTTAAATTTCTAAGCATTCCAATTATTTTTTAAATACATAAATATATCTTTGATGATCAGATTCATTTTTAAGGACTGTAAAATACAAAAAATTATTATTTTTGGACTGAAAAAGAAGTTTCTATGATCTAGAATTGGTTTTGGTTTTGGCTGGCAACTGAAAAACCCACTGCAAACAGTTACTTATACTGCTCTACATTTTTAGCAAATCTCAGCTCTAACTCACTCCCTCTCTCAGCACTTCCTTAAATTAACATCCCACTGTAATTAAGCCACAAGACCCAGGAAATATTCTGTTAGGCCACTGCCCTCCTTCCTGTCATTCTGGGTTGTGAGATCCTGGAGCCCAGGACAGTGCTGGTTACATCCAGTTTGATAAGGGCACATCAGAAATGGGTATAAATATTCCAACTTATTGCAACAGTTTCCTTATCACAATTGTAAGCAGTGCTGGAGTTCCAGCTGTTACTAACCCTTCCCCTTGAAAGCAGCACTCAGACCAGCAGGATTCCTGGTGTCACTCCCAAGGGATGGTGACGGCTCTGTGTGCCTTAGCACATGTACAACAGTCACCCTTTCCTGGGTTTAGCAGTGACATTCCTAAGGGACCACTACATCATCTCACACTTCAGGTGAGCTGCTGCTTCACAGGAGTTACTAACTACACACACAAAGGAATACGAGCACCATCCATCCAAGGATGGGATGATACTCCCTAAGTGGAAACATATCATTCCATCACTGTGTTGGCTGAATGCGATGCCTATCCTGAACAGTCAGTCCAATTTCCCAGGATCTTGTCACCATGCCTAAGATTCCAGGGGAGGAGAATTATATTGTTATTATTTAGGAGGGGAAAAAACAAAACATTTTTAATTTTACAGCACAGCTTTTGCATAAAGGCATCACACAGTTATTTCTAGAACACTGAAGTTGCAGAATCCCAAACTAAAAACCCTGGATCAATAAGGGGGTGGCTGGGGCTGCATCAATGGCTCTATGCAAAGCTTGGCAGTGGCAGAGCAGCAGCAGGAGGGGCTCTGAGGGGCAGACAAGGGGGAAGAGCTTTTGGGAGGCAGCTGGCAGGGTGAGGGAGGGCTCTGGGGGCAGCTGTAGCATGGCTGAGGTGCTGCTCCATGCGTACTCACCTCCGGGGCAGCCTCTGCACTACGGGAGAGTCAGAGAAAACAACCATTGTTCCATGAGCAGTGAACGGAGCTGCATCTCCAGACTCCCACACACCCCAGCCCAGCACCTTATCCCTGCTCCCACCTCAGCTGGGCACGGCAGGAACAGGCTGCCTGCAGCTCCTCTGTGGGGGAGCTGACCTGGATCCAAACCTGATCACTCAGCGGGGAAATTTTACAACTCGGAACAAGAGGGAAAATCTCCAAAGACAATTCGGTTTCTGCAAAGTTCAGTGAAATCTGGCTGAAATTTGCCAGCAGATTCCAAGTTACTTGGGA